TGCCCACGGAGAAACCAATTCTACAAGGACAACCTGAAATGTTTCGTTACCTTAGGTGCTGGCATATGCATTCTCATACGAGCCAGTTCGGATTTTGTCTTGTGGTCCATCGAATCCTCAGCAGCCCAAAGGTCGTAGACCTGGTAACAGTGAAAGCCAGATAAGTTGAGTTGATATTTGGAGTTTGCCTCCATCAAACCTTTGACTCACCTTTTTCTCCGGCTTTGGCTTGGGGCCTTTAGCCCAACCCATTTTAATGGCATGTACCATGCGGCTCACAATACGCATCTCGTCCCTCGATGGAATGAAACGCGATTTCGGCTCCGGCCTGAATATGTACTGCACATAAAATTGCGGAACAAATAACGTCTGAGCATAAAATGAAAAGAAAGAGAATTACAAATAAAGAACAGAGAACAACTGAAAACACAGCAGCAAACGTGTCCATACCTATTATCGATTGGATGAATGGTCTTTTCCGAAGAAAATAAGTCCAAAAACGGCTCATAAGGATTATACCCAACCACGGGGTATTTACCAGATGCGAGGTTATTCAGCTTCTCAACCTGGAAAAATTATTAAAAAGTTCCACTAAGCAGTTATTGTCCGAAGAACATGAGAAACCAGAACAATAAAGACTTCCCTCAACACTACCCGATCTGCCATGCTCTCAACAACTAAATGTAGTAGATGGAGGTGCAAGTGATTATCTGAGTGTATACGGCTCATTCTAAATGTCGGAGCCACCACTGGCATTCTCATGAATCGGAATGATGCTGTGCATGAGGTCTAGCGTATTTCAAGTTTTGTTTCGTTTCTTTGACTCCTCCTTTGCGATCACTCCTTGTGATCTATTAGTAAACAAAAAATAAATAATTTTAAGAGTTGACGTGGTCTTGTAGATCTCACAACTTATTCAAGAATAAATGGAAAATCTTGGTAGCTTTTCAGTGAGTGACGAAGGGAATCAATGCTCTATGAAAATCCCCGAGTCGCGACACCATCTACTCCGCCACGTTTGCACGGTTTTATTTGAGCTTTTAGGAGTTCTTGAAACTTTCTCAACTTCACAAGGGTCTCCGTAGATTTGATTCAAGGCTTTCTGAAGCATAAAAAACAAGGGGAATGAGAGTGAAAAAAAACTTGGAAACCAACCTGTTCATCCGTAAGCACAACATCGGTCCCGGATTGGCGGTCAAACACTTTCCGCCTAAACTTCGCAGTGTACTACTGACAGAATGTTTGAAAGGAAATAAAATCTAACGAATATTGTACGTAAGCGTATTTTAGTGTGGTTTCCTTCCCTTTTGAAATATTCTGCATACACAAGTAAAATAACGTACCAGTAGTCGGGGTCTTCCATCTTCTCAAGAAAAACATCAATCTCCGTCTTCTTTTTCGGCTTTGCTATCTTTTCACCTTGCTGATCATAGCCGATGTGAGTTTCATCGTCGTACCAGTTCACAGGAATATTTCCTATGGTATTTCGAAGGTCCTAAACAAAATGCTGACAATGAGTAGGAAGCAGAAAAAAAACTAGAAAACCGTAGACAAAGAGATTTACCTCCTCATCAGACGAATCATAATCATATTCATCGTTGGGCTTCTTCGTACGCTGGACAGTCTTCAAATCTCGCGTTTCTTTCTTGAGCTCATTTGAATCTGAGTTCTTTCTAACTTTCCTTTTCTCACGATCTTGCAATGTGCGTTTCTTTCGCACAGCAGTGTCACCTCCCGCTGAAGTTGTCATACCTTCAAATAGGAAAATAATGCTTTACTATACTTGAATAAAGAAAAGAATGCAAGCCGTATCAAGATTAGTGTTCCAAAAGCAATCCTCTCGATATGCTGTTACAGTTGAAATGTGAAAGTGGAGGCAGAAAATGATGATTTCTGAAAAAAAGGTCGAAAACCAGAGAGTCTATTTTCGCCAGAACATTTCAGGGGTGACCTGAACCGAGAGTTTACTGCCAGGTGAATGTTGTTCG